TTTCCCCTTTTTTCTCTCCTCACGCTCCCCGTCTGAGAGGAGACTTTGTTTAAGGAAATAAGGCCTCAGAAATAGACCACAAATTGGGCCCAAATTTGATTTGGCATCTTTTTTAAAGTCCCGACGAAGGAAGTGAGTAAGCGTTTATTCGATTTCTGTTATTTTTTTGTCTCGACGAGGCCCTGAACTCTCACGTGTTTGGTGGAAAAGCCAGAAAACAAGAGGGTGGGCTTTAAAATGAGGAACTCGAAGGAAACTTGAGAGTCTCAATGTGGTGAAAATGGCTTTATTTCAAAAGGAAGGAGCTCAGTTTAAGACACCTTTCATGGATTCAACGAAGGACTTTCTGTGAAAGGTGGAAAATGGTGGAAAAAAATCGGGGAGGAGAGATCTGAGGATCAATAGAAACGGGGAAACTTCTAAAAGGACAGAAACCCACCAGGACCAGAACTGGTTCAGGGTTAACTCATCCATGTGTTCCTTTATCTGTTAACCCCAATCCAACATAGATAGATAGATAGATAGATAGATAGATAGATAGATAGATAGATAGATTACATTACACACAGCATATACTAAAGTCTCTTTAGTTGTCTTCTGCTAAATGACGAATGGAAAACTGGATCTCACAGCATTTTTGAAAAAATGCAGAATGATGTGTGAAAATATGAATAAATACAGAATGAAACGATGCACAAACTTGCACAAACTGATCTTTTATTCACAAGAGAACTCAGAAAAACTGCTGTTTAGTCTAAATTCAGCTCATCTGATTCAGCCTGAGTCGACTCTGATAAAGCCTAAATATAATGAGTTGTTATCCTATTATTGCTTCATTTTGATATTCTCACAGCACTTCTTTGGAAAAACATAACTAATTTTTTCTAGAAGGAAGTAAAAATTCAAACAAGCTTTCTTCCATAGTTTGAAGCAACAAAAAATAAGATATTTTCTGTTTGTCAGGATTCATCTGTGTCACTTTATGGAACTTTTCTCTTTGTGTCTGTAAAGGCTCAGCTAGTTTCTGACTTTTTTCTGTGGAAATCCCGTTTGTGTGTTTAGATTTCTGCCCTCTCAACTCACATAACTCCTCTTATTGATTCATCAGAAACTTAACGGTCCTGTGTTGGACTTTTTCTGTGTTTTCTGGCTGATCTGATGATGGATTATTATTCTAAACGGGAACCAGAGATGAAACAGCAGGAATGGTGGAAGTTATCACTTTGTTTCAGCTTTTCAGATCCCTTCACAATAATGGGATTTATAGTTTTGAGGCCAGTTTTCTCTCTCTCTCTCTCTCTCTCTCTCTCTCTCTCTCTCTCTCTCTGATGCCCTCTCTCTCTCTCTTCCTCTCTCTCTTGCTCTCCACCCCCCCTCTCTTTCTCCCTCTTGCCCTCTCTCTCTCCCTCTCTCTCGCCCTCTCTCTCTCTATCCCTCTCTTTCCCCCTGCTCCTCCTCTCCCTCTTTCCCTCTCTCCCCCTGTTCCCCCTCTCTCTCTCTTTCTGGCCTTCTCTCC